TATTTTGCTAGGGTTTCATTTGGGGTTTTTATTTCGTGTTTACTATCCTAATCTCTGTGGGTGGTTTAATTTGTTTATTTAGTGTTTAACATTTTCATGTTTAATTTGTGGTCTTAGCACATTGATTAGTCTGTGTCTGTTATTTTCTGATTAGTTTGTTGTTCATAACATTCATATTCTGCTAACTTTTTATGCTTATTTTTCTAACATTCTTGGACTAATGGTGTTTTCCTGGTTACTTTGTTTGGATTTGGGGCTTCCTCATTTTTTTCATTGGTTATCTTGTGTTGTGGGTTGTTGTTTCTCTCTGTGATTGTCCTATTCTTGTGGGTTGTTTAGTTATGGCTGAGTCTTCAAAGTGTCGCAAGACTACTGTTTCCTGTCCCCCATTCTATACTGATAAGTTCGAATCCAAAGAAAAGTCTAAGTTGTTTAGAGAGTTTTATGTCACTCGTAAAGTCCATTTAGAGAGAAATGTCCTCCCTAGTGCTTTTGAGTTACTACCCATTCGTTCATTGTTCGATGTCTTAGGAGGTGATCAAGTGTTGCATTTTTCGGGGCCACAAAATCTGAGTCTTATCCGTGAATTTTATTGCAATATCCAATAAAATATTTGGATATTTTAAGAATCGAATGGATAAAGAAGGTACTTGGGACTTAGAAGGTGATGCTAACACTATGTGGAACTCGATGGCCAATTGTATGAGGAGAATCTCAAGGGAAGTGCTTGGAGAGTCGAAAGGAACGGGGCCCAGCTCTAGGGAAACTTGGTGATGGAGGGAAGAGATTCAAGCGGTAGTTAAGGCAAAAAAAGAGTGTTTTAAAAAGTGGCAGAATGAAAGAACTGAGGAAAACCTTAAGAGCTATAGATTGGCTAATAAGGAGGTCAAGAAAGTAATGAGAGAGACCAAGTTCAAAGTATATGATGACCTATACACTAGACTAGGTAGTAAGGAGGGAGAGAAGAGGGTATACAAACTTGCTAAGATACGAGAGAGGAAAATAAGAGATTTTAATCAAGTAAAGTGCATCAACAGTGAGGATTCTAAGGTATTGGTAAAGGATGATGAGATTAAGGAAAGATGGAAGAATTATTTTGAGAAACTATTAAATAAGGAACATGGAGGTACGACAATAAGGGAAAAAATAGCCAGTAATACAATAAACCAAGACTATAGGTTCTATCGTAGGATTAGAAACTTTGAAGTGGAAATTACACTTAAGAAGATGAAATCAAATAAGGCTTTAGGACCCCATGATATCCCTATTGAAGCTTAGAAGTGTTTGGGTAAAAAGGGAGTTGGTTGGTTGACTAGGTTGTTTAGCAAAATTTTGTTGACTAGAAACATGCCAGATGAGTGAAGGAAGAGTATTTTAGTGCCAATCTATAAGAATAAAGGTGAGGTCCAGAATTGTAACAACTATAGAGGAATCAAGCTAATGTGTCATTTAATGAAAGTGTGAGAGAGGGTGATGGAACGCCAATTGCGAGATATAACAGAGGTGTCAGAGAATCAATTTGGGTTTATGCCTGGTAGGTCAACAATGGAAGCGATCTATCTTTTGAGGAGAGTAATAGAAAAGTATAAAGAAAAGAAAAGAGACATTCATATGGTGTTTATCGACCTTGAGAAAGCATATGACAGAGTGTCCCAGGTTATAATATGGTGGGTGTTAGAGAAGAAAGGGGTGACAAAATGTTACATTGACATGATTAGGGACATGTATGAAAGGGTGGTGACCACTATTAGATCGCCAGATGGAGAGACAAATGAATTTCCTATCACTGTATGTTACATCAAGGATCTACCTTAAGTCCTTATCTTTTTGCGTTAGTTATGGACAAGTTGACGATAAATATTCAAGATGACGTGCCATGGTGTATGCTTTTTGCAGACGATATTGTGCTAGTGGATGAGACTAGAGAAGGAGTTAACACAAAGTTAGAGATTTGGAGAAAAGCTCTTGAATCTAAAGGATTCCGGATAAGCAGAACTAAGACCGAATACATGGAGTGTAAATTTAATAACAGTAACAATGAAAGCAGAGGAGAAGTGAAGATTGAGAACCAAGAATTGCCTAAGAATGAACATTTTCGTTATTTAGGGTCTATTATCACAACAGCGGGAGAGATTGATGCAGATTTGGCCTATAGGATTAAGGCGAGATGGTGTAAGTGGAGAAGTGCGTCTAGGGTATTGTGCGATAAACGAATACCCACTAGACTAAAAAGTAAGTATTATAGAATGGCTATTAGACCAGCTATGTTGTATGGGACAGAGTGTTGGGCAACCAAGAAACAACATGTAGATAAGATGAGTGTGGCTGAGATGAGGATGCTAAGGTGGATGTGTGGTAAGACTAGACAAGGCAGGATTAGGAATGAGTGTATTCGGGAATGGGTAGGAGTAGCACTGATAGAAGATAAGTTGAGAGAGAATCGTTTGAGATGGTTTGGTCATATTCAATGGAGACCAATAGAGGCAGTAGTGAAGAGATGCGATGCTGTAACGGTAAATGGAAGTGTTAGGAGACGGGGTAGACCTAAATTAACGTTGACTAGCGTTTTAAATAGAGATATGAATCTACTTAATTTAACTAATGAAATGGCCTTTGATAGGGCCGCGTAGAGAAGAAGGATTCATGTAGCCGACCCCATTTGATGGGACTTAAGGCTTGGTTTGGTTTGGTTTATCCATTCTATTCACAAAGAAATTCCGGCATCTTTTACCACTTGGGTTAGGAAGAAGTCTTTTGTTATCACTGGGGATGTTTTTCGGATGTTTCTTGATCTTCTCGAAGTCCCGAATTTTCGTTTTCCTCTCCTTACTCGTACTGGTATTAATTTTGATCAAGTTGCTTCTGCATTTTGTGGTTGTTCCTGGACTTGGTTTGCCGGGGCACTCATTCAGCAAAATGAGTTGCTTCCTAGGTTTCGCCTTTTGAATATCATTGTTTGTGCTAATCTTCATGTGACTTCTCATTCTTCGCACATTACCCAAGATCAGGGTTATGTGTTGTATTGCATTGATCAAAGGCTTCCTATTGACTTGCTTGAGATGATAGTCACGAAGATGATTTCTGTTTTTGAGGGACGTAAGTCCTTAGGCCTTCCATATGGATGCTTGCTTACTTGTTTTCTCACTTCTCTTCATGTTCCGATTTATGATGATGATGAGTTTGCTTCTCCTATCAAACCCATTACTAAATTGACAGTCTCTTAGAGTCAAGCTCATGTACGAGGGGGTGTGTCGGGAGTTGGGTTGTCTGGTGCAGGTGATGATCCACTTGCTGAGGAGGAGGAGTTTGATGCAGCTACTGCTGGTGCACCGGATCTTCTTGAGATGCGTCCTAAATCATTTCATGGCCAGCTGCAGCAGTTTGAGTAGTCTGTCATGCATCGGCTTGACCAGTTGGATGCTCGAATGGATACACTTGACAGTCGCCTTGATGAGTAGAGCACTAAGCTTGCACAAATTCTCTCCTTACTCCAGATGCAGCAGCCACCTCCTCCTGATTCTTAGTTTTTGACAGTCTTTGGCTCATACTTTTTGGACAGTTTTTTTGTTCTTGTCTTGGACATTTTTCTTGTTTCTTGTTTTGTTTGTCACTCCCGGACAAAAAGGGGAGAGTATGATTTTTGGGGGTATATGGGTATATGTTTGGGGGATATATATATTGGGGATACGCATATGTTTTTGCAGGCAGGGTTTATCTTTTTGGGGTGATGTATATGGGATACTCATGATGTTTTTGTAGGCAGCACTTGGACTAATGGTTAACATGTTATATTGTTTATATTGGAATTTACGTTGTTAGATGTAGATAGTTATGGTTGCTAATGATGTTGATAATGGGTTTCTGTTTTTTTTAAGTCTTGATGGTTTCTTATGATGAATAACAATTCTCTCCAAGTTTATGTTGTGCAGATTGTGTACTTTGTGCAGATTGTTTTTCCATCAAGATTGGTTTGGTAGTTGGTTCTTTTTCTGGTTTTTAGTTGGTTTGTTTAGTTTGTTCGTTTGTTTAGGAAATTTTGTTAGAAAGTTTTGTCCGAGTATTGACAAAGGAAGAGATTGTTAGGTCCCTTAGTGTTGTCAATCCTGCGAACAAACTTGTGTGATTGAGTTGTAAATTTCCTTGTTGTTTTGTCTTCCTCGCTCCAGCGAAGACTGCGTCTGGCAAAAACATGAAAGAGATGAATGTGCACTCGAGCGAAGCTTGCATGGCTCGAGCGAAGACTCGAGCGAAGCCACTTATGGAAATCACGCGCGATAAGTTCCTCGCTCGAGCAAGAGAAGCTTCGCTCAAGCGAGCTTCACAGTCCAAGATTTCTATAAGTATTTGTTTTACTCCAAAACTAGGATTAGGTTTTTTAGATCTACTTTGAGGTTTTCTAAGGATTTCTTTTAGAGTATTTTCTGTGAGTTTTCCTTGATATTTTGAATGAGTATTAAACTCATGAATTGATTTTCAAAGATCAAGGAGGTTGATTGATTACATACAAGAGTAATCTTCTTCGGTGGATTCCGAAGATTCAAACGTGGAGTTTCAAAGGAGTTTGATTCTGTACGTAGTCGTTGATTCGACAAGTGAAGTTGTGGATTCAACTTCAGATTAATCAGTTCCTAGACGAAGGCATGGTGAAAGAATTACAAAAGGTTTGAAGACAAATTGGTTGAGTTAGGTAATTTGTTTGTTGTCTTTGTAATCTTTCTTTCTTCAGTAGTGGATTGATTAGTGGCGTTTCGCCCGTGGTTTTTGATTACAATTGAAGGTTCTTCAATTGTGGTTTTTCCACGTAAAAATCATTTGTGTCAATTTATTGTTTATTTCGAAAAAAACAATCTAAATCACTTTCGTAAGTGCTTGATGATTTAGATTGTGTGTTTTGAATGATTGGGAATTCAAATATTTTAATCTTGATCTAATCACGAATCACTTAGGATTTTCAATGCCGATGGCATATTAGTAGAAATGTATTGGTGAAATGCAAGAAAATGTTTAAGAGTAAGGAGGAATGGGACAAGTTTATTTCTTTATGGAATTTCTTAATAGTCTCCTTAACTGAGCTTGAATACAATGAACACCTTGCTAGGCTACTTGCGGATTTTGATACATATCCTGAGGCAGTGCAATATGTGTCACAAAGTTGGTTAATTCCATATAAGGTTAAGTTTGTTGTCGTATGGACAGATAGTTGTATGCACTTCGGGAATGTTACAACCAACAGGTAATATATATTTGTCTACCTTATACTATTAGGCATTATGATTTTGATTATTTAAACTTGATTATGTTAATTGTTTCCATTGTACACAGGGCTGAAAGTGCACATGCAAAATTGAAACGGCAACTTGGTTCTAACCACGTAAATTTTGAGTGTTCTTGGACCAAGATCCATAGTTTGCTTGAGTTGAAGCATGTTGATATTAAGGCATCGTTTGAGAAGAATTTAACCGTTGTACAACACTAGTTCAAACCATCCCATTTTAGAGAGCTCCAAGGCAATATCTCTATTACTACATTAGATCATATCTTAGCAGAGAGTAAGCGAGCGAATGATGTTGGCATTGATGCTTCAGTATGTGGATATGTTGTTCGACAAACACACGGGTTACCGTGTGCCCATGAGATTGTGGATTACATTCAACAGGGTCATCTAATACCACTTGATAGCATTAACCCACACTGGAGGACTCTTGAGGTAGTACAAAAGTTAAAGAATGATAAAGTGGAATTGAGTTGTGAACCAAAGTTTGATCTCATACTTAAGCGATTCAATGCATCTGATTACACTATGCAGTTAGAAATTCTACATAAGTTAGAAGAGATAGTAGATCCGCAAAGTAGTTTTCTCATTGAGCCGGATGTGAAGCCCAACCCTCGAGGTAAGGGACATAAGAAGATAGATGTATCTACGCGTCGAGACCCATGTGCATTTGAGCTAGTTCAGTCTAGACATGATAGCCACTCACCTATGGGCACCCAAATCCCCACACAAGATTCTGTCAAAGTACATAAAAAAGGGCCGCAAAAGAGCAGGTACATGTAATCATTTTTTACTTACATTTTTGTTTATGATAAATTACATGTTTTGTTGTTCATGTGTTGATGTCTTCCTTGTTGAATAGGTATATCAGACGCGTACAAATACGACTTATTCATATGTTGATGCCCTCCCAGTTGGATTGAAATCGTACATACATCTTATCAAGGATGTAGATGTCGATGGCAATTGTAGGTTTAGGGCTATTGCTGGGTTGATGGGGTTTACAGAGGCTGAATGGGGTCACGTCATGCGTGATCTCCTACAGGAATTGCACATACACATAGACCATTACACTCATCTATATGGTTCACATGACAAGATTGAAGAACTGACCCATATTCTATCATACTTTGAGCCAAATCCAGGGTATCACCATTGGATGACTATGCCTAACATGGGTCATCTTATTGCATCTTATTATAGTGTGGTATTGTACCACTTATCTGCACAACAATGCCTTACTTTCCTCCCCCTACGATCAGTGCCAATATCACAACTTTGAGATTGCTATTGGGTTTGTTAATGGGAATCATTTTCTCCATGTATAGCATTATGATTTGTGTAATACATTTATCATTTTGTACTGCATCGCTCTCATACTTAAAGCTTTGTCAATGTAGGTGTTCATGTTACCGGGTCATCCAGTTCCACCGATAGCTACCAATTGGTGCAAGTTTCATCATTCTTGTGCGGCTGGATGGGGTACTGCATATAGTCGCCGAATTGAGCATTTTAAAGAAGTTGTTCATTTAGGGGCAGCTACTAGAGAGACATTTGATTGTATTAACTTTGATGAGTAATGATGTATGTGAGTTGAGTTGTAGTTATGAAATTTAAATAGTTACCGATACATTTTTGTGGATTAGCATTTAAATAGTTGGGTTAGATTAAGCTTAGAGTTAATTTAATGCACATGGTAGTACTTGTTCATTGCGGTGTATCAAATGCATTGGCATAATACTTCCTGTTGATTACCAAAAATACAAACCATGAATATCTGGTCGTTACAAAATATTGGTAGAGTAATTTTTGTTCATTACAAAACAACAAAAACATCAAAAGAGTACTTCTTTTCCATTACAAAATAACAAAACAAGATTACCACAAAACAAACTACCTATCATGTACTCGTCTCCTACGATTGTATGTTCGAAATGGAATAGAACTAGGTCCAGCCTCATCGATTTGTTGACCCTGAAGAACACGTGACATCCTTTTAATGGCCTCATATAACTTATCTGGCTCACGAACACTAGCATCATGGCCCGCCTCGATGATAGGATGTGCAATCCGTAGTGCATGATCAATACACTGAATTAAAAACAAATACAATTGTAATTAGCACATGCCATCCTTAAAAAAAATTGTAAACGATGTGTGCGCAATATTATCATACCTCAACGTCCTACACATCAGATGGACTATCCTGTGCACGTAGGTCAAAACCAGACCGATGTGTGGGGTTCTGGATATATAAGTGTGTGATGTTTGTATACCATTGCATGTAACCATCAACACAATCAGCCGGACGTCTGACTGGGGTACTCCTCCTCCGAGCAGATAAAATATGATTATCCCAACTCTCCTATATCTGATTAAGATATTGATACATCACTCTATATCGGCTTGCTGTAACACCTCTAACAACACAAACAAGGTCGAGTGGCGCAAGTGGGATGGTCTGAACCCCACCAAACTGTCTAAGAACCCTTTCAAGATGATAGGGTTCAACTACATGCAAACACTTCAAATAGTCGCTGTAGAATGTGATCTCATGACATGGGTGATGTTGACGGCAATCTCGATATGGATCCCACGTAACCTAAGAGAGAAACACAAATGAAATCTTGACAAGTGACATGGAATGAGAACACGTAATTGAACTAATATTAATTGTTATACCTCATCAAATGCCAATCTGTCAAGCTCCTCCCATAACGCCTGTAGGTGTGATACCGTTGAACCAACTTCCCGATGAGGAGTCCATCGATGCACGTGAGACAATTGTATAGTATATTCCATGTTTTAGTGAGGTCTAAATGGCCAGAAATGCTCATAAATCCATGCCTTCAACAATGTCATATAACCAGCCATATGTCGAACAGCTGATCTAGTGGCAAATCCCAACTGTCTGTATAAATATGCCAATGTAGCTGCACCCCAAGAATATGTATGAATATTAATTACATCCATCAACAACTGCAAGTAAACAACAGGAACTCTAGTCCTACTCTTGTCGCTGAACAGTGTACATCCTAATAGAAATAGCAAATATGCTCTGGCAGCACAAACTATGGTCTCCCCGATGTCTGAATCTTTGCAACCACTGAATTTTCTCCATAACCACTCCAACTTTATTGATTGTCCCCTAGCAGATGATAGCTCCTCAGTTGCTTTAGCATCATCAACTTCTAATGCAGCTACCACAAGTGCATGTGCCTGTTGATCTGTCAAAGTTGCAGCACTAACTGATCTACTTGTGATAGGGATCCCCAAGATGGTACCTACATCATCTAACGTCATTGTCATCTCACTAACTGTCAAATGGAAAGTATTTGTCTCTAGTTGTCATCGCTCAACAAATGCAGAAATGACAATCCTATTCACGAACTGATATGTGCAATGGACCAAAGAAAATAGGCCTGACTGCTGCACAATGTCTCTAAACCTTCTATTGTCGGTTCTTGACCACCATCGCCACTCAAGAATCTTGGACGCATGATTATAACACCTTAAGGGATTCCTCTCTTGCAAGGTAATTAATAATTAACATAAATAATGTGGTTCAATAAATAATTAAATGAATGAAACATGGTAAAAAATATATACTACCTTCTGATCCCATATAGTTGCTGCAATATGTGCCTTGAAGCTCTTCAGTACTGATGGATCTGATGGCCTCCCAAGAAACGGACTAGTGAGTACGTCTTCAACCTAATCAACATCAACAGCATCATCATCATCCCCCGAACCATTATCAATCACATCCTCTTCTAAGATTTGAGGTGCTTTCTCTAATACAATATCATAACCCCGACCTTTATTTCGACCCCGACCTCGACCTTGACCTTGGGCACGAGCAAGATTTGTTAATGCATGACGTCGTCTCTCTGAGCCAATGGGTGGAATACATGAAGGGTCATCCATTTCTGAAAATGAAACAAAAAACAATAAAGTTAACAGAAGTAAGACAAATCATTTATGTTAAAATACTCACACCTCTGAAGCACCAACACTTCAAGAAAGGTGCCATAGCGGTGCCAAACGTGGGAACACGACAAGGATATGTATGTGACACGCCACATGGCATGTCCCTTTATTTAATTAATTTGCTTCTAAGGGACATGACAAGGATATATATACACATTGAATTAATGCTCATTTTTGGTGTGCAACCACTGCTAGATTCACTATATTTTTTTATTAATTAATTAGTAAATTGAATTGTTAAATGATGGCCAACTATCTCCCACCAAATTCAAACATGAACTGCTCACCTAATAATACTATGTATCTAAAGGTGACACTAAATCTTGTGACCAAAGAGTTCATATTCAAACATATATTATTATATGTGAAAAATTGTAGACAAATTGGTTTTGACAAGCAAGAAAGTCTCAACAACACAATTCACATGAATTTTTCCTATATGTTTTCATTTTAGTTTGGCCCAATGTTTTCAACAACACAAGTCATATTTTCTAGTCATAGATGTTATTTTCATGGCAGCAACAGTTGAATAAAACTTTTAAGTATCATCTTCACTTTCCAGTTTTTATAAGATTTTCACCATAAAATCTTTTCAAAATCATCGAGGTGGCAATCTTGCTGATATTATTAAGAAAACTAATGGATCTGAGATGTCATGTTAGTAGTAAAATAATCCCAAGTCAAATGCTGGTTTTCTTTAGCAATATAAGAATGATTCATGTCAAAGTGACAATCATTTTCTTTTTCTTTTAATTTTCCTTTTAGTTTTATTTTTATTTTTATGCGCCACATCAATCGATATCGTTCACAATGTACTAGCAGTATAGTTAACATAGTTGTGATAGTGAAAAAAAAAAAACACTTTTTATATCAAAATTGGCCGAAATTGGCTATGAAAGGCTATATCCTCTGTAAATTCGGTCGTGATTCGTGAATCAGTTATCAATCAATATGTATTGTGAACAAGTTGAGATTTTCATTCTCATCATTATGTTTAGGTGTAGGGACCTATATTTTTTAAACTATGATTTCTTCTTGTTCATTATATGTTTTATGTTTTCTGCAAAATTAGCAACAATGTAAATCCCAAATTACACTTCACCACGATCTTTTTTTTTCCAATTTATGTTAAAAATTATTAAAGTATTTTCTTTATATGCCTACAAAGTGAGACTAATTTTTCACACTAGAGAAAACCATGCACATGGACACACTGCCATCTATATAATAGAAAGTCAACAACAATGCGAGTAACACAAAACACATAACATAGACTTGAATACAGAGAATGCCTAAATGGATGAGATTTTAAAAAATTTATCAATGAAGTCTGTTTTTCAAAAATCTTATCCATTTATTTATTTTCTTTGTTCGATTCTACATTTAGTTTTTGTGTTCATCAACTTCTATAAAGATATATTGGTTATGTCAATTTATTAGAAACTTTCCCAGTGTGGGAAAAAAAAAAACATATACTATTCGACAATAAAGAATCGAACAAAGAATTATAGTTCAACATTCTAGGCCCGAACAAGTTTGACAATAACAAGTCGGACAAAATGATTTTGTTCAAAAGCCAAGTATCAAACGAGCCCATACAGCTTTTGGGGTTCGAAATTACAGTGTCGAACGGTTTGGAACTGATTCATTCATGGCAATGGTAAAAAATACATAAAACCCTAAAATCTAAACCAAATGAGAACTCACCTAATGCTTTACTTGAGCACCAACGACGTCTTCACCACTGCTTTACTCTGTGTTGAGCCCCAACACAGTGTTCACCGGTTGAAACAGAGAATGGAGGAGGGGGGATGGAAGAAGGTGGGTGTGTGGGGGTGTGTGAATGAGTGAGGGTAAATATGGGAGTTTGTGTGTATATTGTTGTGGATGGGTGTGTGAGTAAGGGTAAATATGTAAATTTGTGATGTGTGATGAGCAAAATTTATATTTACCAAATTATTGAAGGTGTGTCTTTAGAAGTGGTTTGCCTTGAGATAAATTATGGTATATATAGAGAGGCACCCCGGATTGATCCTTTTTTCTTAATAGCCCATTTAGTCCTATGTGGTTGGAAGTTACAAAAATATCCTTAATAAATTCATTTTGAATAATTACCCCATTTAGATTAGAAGCTATATTTTAGGAGAAAATCATGGAATTTAAACTCTAGTGTAACTATCCTATTTAATATATATATAAATGGAAATATAAATATTCATGCTTTTAATAAATAAAGAAATATGTTTTTTGTTTCTATATTTTCATCAGCTGATTAATGTATTTACGTGAATTGTGAACATTCACATTGCAAATACCCTCAATGTGAATGTTCCAAAATGTGCATTGGAATCAGTAAAAAATATAAATGAAAAGGAAAATTTGATTCATTGATAAACCAATATGAATGTTCACATAATCAATTTAAAAAATAAAAAAAAAATCTAAATTCACACACTAATCATGTGAATGTTTAGGCAGTGTTAATGTTCACATAATTAATTCAAATGGGTATATGAACATTTATACTCATCCCAAACATGTCAACATACCAAAAAAATAACTAGAGCGAATAATGGCACCAAAAAGCACA